GGGTCAGTGCCATAGTTCTGTTCAAATAACCTACACACTCTGTATTTGTGTGCCAGGTACGCGTTTCCTCTCTTGAGGGGTCAGCTGACACAGACCCCTCTGCTAAAAGTTTTCTACAGCAAATTGGCAGAGAAATGGTTGTCGAAAGCACCTGGTGGGGAGAGGGCGAGGTGGGCAACAATGGCAGAACACGTAACCCAGACGAGGGTGCAATCTTGATCATTGTATTAACCACTTATCCTTAGGAACATGCCATTCAGGCATGCCCTGAATGCCCCCCACTCCCACCCCAAAGCTGCACTGCCCTTCCATCCCCCCAGGAACAAGATAAGACCCATCTCCATCCTCCCCATGATCTCCCTTCCCATTTCTGCTGGATGGGGCAGTAGGGGAAGGGGGGGGGGACAGACTTGCAGATGTGTGTGTGGTTCCTGCCTGTGGGGACTTGATCACGAGCTTGGGGAAGAAAGCCTACTCCATGGAGAGACGAGGACAGAGAAGGGCTTGGGGAGGGTCTTACCAGGGACTCTCTGGAAAGAAATACAGGGCTAAAGGCAAATCCCACCTAAGCACAAATGTTATATCTCATGCCAGACCTGAGATATAAACCTGTTGTCTGATCCTTGTGCAATGGTAGAAGTGTAAGACAGAGAACAAGTGTTGTGATTTCCAGTAGTGGACATCCAGCCCTTCCACGTGCCTCTGTGGGGTCAGCCATCCCTCGGGGTGTCAGGTCACCTTTCTGGGGCTGGGGCTGAGCCTTAGGATATGGTGGCAGCCTAGAAGATGCAGCTCAAATGGGAAGGGGGGTTCTTGGTGGAGCCTGGAGGACGGTCAGCCCCAGAGATGAGATCCAGTGTCAAGCTGGGCGGCTCAGCCAAACCCTGGAGCCACTTAGGCAGCGCCCAAGAAGGCTCCAGGTAACTTCAGCGCTCCTTTCTCATGTCTGAACCTTCTGGAATTCTCAGGCTCCCCCAGAGTGACTGAATAACAGTGAGGAACTGGGTCAGGCTCTGAGAGGAAAATTCCAGAGACGCGTCCACAAATGCTCCCTGTGGGCTTCAGCTTGGCTCCCCTCCCAAGGCCGAGCCAGGCAAGACCTCACGGGGAGGGCACGCCTCCTCTCCCACAGTGCTGGGTCTGCAGGGAGCCCAGGCCGATTCCGATCTGCAGACACATCAGTCTGCCCTCCAGCTGCTGTGGCCAGGCCCAAAGAGGGCAAGCAGGGAATGGATCGAGTACCTCTTCCTTACATGTTCAGGACACAAAACCACCAGGCTGAGGCTCTCCTTGAAGCTTCAAGGAGTTCCCATGGCCAGGGTCATAACCGCCCCCTTCTGCTAGCCCAGAGCCTCCCCTGTGCGGGCCCAGAGCCACCTCCAGGTGGCCACTGAGCAGACCAAAGGCCAGTCATTTTCCTAAGGCACGTGCTCCACTCTCACCGGGTCTTTCTGGGTCCTTTGTCCTGGAATGCTGTTTGGATATGGTCAAGGGTTCTGGTAGCCTTCCATGACCTGCCACGTCAGATCCGGCCCGTGGCTTCTGCAGATTTGATCTGTCCTCATCATTGCCTCTCACCCAGTCCTTCCATCACTCACGGTTTGTCTGTCTCCCCCGAGAGCCACAGAAATCAGGTTTGGGAGGAGAGGGTGGTCCCTGTGAGGATCTTGTGAATCCCCAACACCAGATCAAACAAACCCAACAAGACTCACCGGCAGTGAGTCAGTGCTGACTCCGAGTGACCCTGTCAGCCAGGGTGGAACTGAACCCGTAGCTCTTTGCAGGAGAAGAGGCCCCGTCTTCCTCCTGCAGAGCAGCTGGTGGTTTCTAACTGCAGGCCTTGCTCTTCGCAGCCCAGAGCATGACCACTGCGCATGACCACTGTGCCCACGGCCATGGCTGCCATTTGACTCCGCCCAGACCCTCCCCGCACACACTTTCAATCGTTTATCCGGGGGTGATGGATGCACCAAAGAGCTCAGGAAGCTTGTCTACCTGCCAATGTTCTTCTACTTTTGAGACTAATACATCTAGAAAGAACATGCTCAGTAGCTTAGCACCATCTGGTAAATGGGATGGCCCATCAAGCTGAGCATTGCTGCCTCTCCTTAGCACTGGCCTCTGAATGTCACTCGGGACCCAGCACCATGTACTTAAGACATCATCCCCTTTTCTTTCTGGAAGCGTGTTTTATACAGTATACAGTGCCTCGGGGAGGAGATGATATCAGAAAAATAATTTGCCTCCATAGGCTCTTTGAGAGCCTAATAGATTTCATTTGGGGTGAAGAAATAGAAGCATCTAAGATAAAAACATCACATCCAGTTTGAATCTTCACTTGGGTCCCTCGGTATTGTTGCTGACTGAATATCGCAAACTGTGCTTCTGCCTCAAACACCAAAAGGGAAAGAGAGGGACCACAGAGGCCCCATAAAAAGAAAGTACAAGAGTGGAACAGCTCTAAGTGCGCCTACTCGTAACTGTAAAGACAGAAATGATATTGTGTCTTTATGGCGTTGTTTTCTACTACGCAATCTCAGTCCTGCGGCCTTTCTTCCAAAGATACGGTGTCCGGACCTCTTCCTCGCCCCCCAAGGCACGGTCGGCGGTGACCCGAGGGAATACCCCAGCTGTGCTCTGACGGAGCAGAGACCTCCACCTCCCCTCCTGTGCCCTCCGTGTTTCTGTACTGTCGACTTGAGACGGTCCCACTGCTGGATCCCTCATCGGAGTGTGGACTTTGCCTCTCTCCTTTCCCAGGGTGTTCCCAGTTCCTAGCACATTCCAGAGACTCTAAAAGTGAGTGTTTGTCAAATTAACATTGACCGTATGAGAGCGAACGAACGCCCGGGGGACTACTGTGAAATCAATTGGCCCCACACGCACAGGGCAGTGGATTCTTTCACAGTCAGAGCAAGTTGGCTTCTGGTACTTCTGCCCTTTATATTGAGCCCTTTGGGGTGATTTTGAATCTTACACGTTTCAGATAGTACATTCCTATCTTCCTCAACATGGGGTCATCTGCAACTCTGGGTCTTCCCTAAGTTCGGGGGTGATGAAACAGGACCACTTGGTACTTGCTCGACCAAGACAAGGACAAGAGGGTGATGCTGTGAGAGGTGCCATCAGGGGTAGGTAGGTGCAGACAAAGAGCAGTGGAGGACACGGATTCCGGGAACAGGAGGTGGAGGACTATCCTGGGCCTGGAAGTGTGGGGAGGTCCACTGGAGGAGGAAGGAGTCCGATGGAGCCAGGAGGAGTGAAGGAGGTTAGACAAGTGGAGGTGACCTCATTTACAGCCCCTGACTATGTGGAGGTGGAGAGGACTTGGATTTCGCATCAGCGTTTGGCTACAGGGAGGACAAAGACAGAGACAAAGCCTGAGGAACCAAGCGGGCAGTTTCAAGGCCGCCCTGACAGCTGAGACCAGAGCTTATGGAACCTGGCCTGGCTGGAGTGGGAGAGCAGAAGGCACAGCAGAGCTGGTAAGATGGGGTGCCTGTGGGTCAGCCACGGTGGAAAGTGGTGCTGCAATTTCCCACCTGCGGGAGGGGAGAGGGTGAGCAGTGAAGGAAGGAAGGAAGGAAGGAAGGAAGGAAGGAAGGAAGGAAGGAAGGAAGGAAGGAAGGAAGGAAGATATCCCCCCTTTCTGGATGAGCCGTGTACCCGCTGTGTGGCCCTGGGAAGATCCCTGGTGCTCTCTGAACCTGTGCCAGGTGAAGCACTCGCCTACCTGGGCCACAGGTGAAGATGTTGGTGCAGGGCCCACAATGTTTGAAATGATGACCATCTCCCCGACTCCCTTCTCGGTCATCTCACATTCCCCCCCAAAGGGCCGAGCCCCCTCCCGGGACTGGAAGGGTGGCTATGGTGCTTACTTTGAGACCTTCCTGTCGGTAGCTCTGGGAGATACAGTCCAGGACGCCTCTGTATTTGCTGAAATAAACCCCATCTGCCTGGAGTCGACTTTTCATCACATCCATCGGAGTTGCTGTCCCCCAAGAAATCGCTCCTGGAAAGAGAGATAAGCATGCGTCAGGGGCTGGGCTCAGGGTGAGGTTCTCAGAAGGCTGGGTTCTGGGCTTCCAGAACTTCCACCTGGGCTTCCAGTCCTCCGCCTCCTACCCCCGGAATCCATGTCCTTCAGTGCTCTTTGTCTGCACCTACCTACCCCTGATGGCGCCTCTCACAGCATCACCCTCTTGTCCTCGCCATGGTTGAGCAAGTACCAGGCGGTCCTGTTTCCAGCACTTTCTCTAGAACTGGCCTGAGTCTCTTACCTAGTCTATGCCCCGGGCCGTTCATCTACACAATGGAAATAGGAGGTTCAAACGAACCTTGTTCAAAAGGAGAAATGATAACACGATCGAATTTTTTTAAAATTCTAGAACAGGAGCACAGACTCCTTTGTCATTGTCACTGTTGTTGTCACTGTTGTTCGGTGCCGCTCAGTGGGTTCTGACACCTAGAGCCCTTCCGTGCAACAAAGCCAAACGATCCTGGTCCCACACTAGCTGTCGCCCCCCTCCTCGTCTTGTTTGAGCCATCGCTGCAGCCGTGTGTCGGTCCTCCCCAGGGAGGACCTGCCTCTTTTTCACTGCCCCTCCGCGTCCCCAAACATGACGTTGCCTTTCTCCGGGGCCTGGGTTCTGTTGACAACATGTCCAAATACATGAGCTGAAAGCTCACCATCCCTGCCTCTAAGGAGCATCCTGGCTGCACTTCTTCTCCCAGGGCAGATCTGTGCTCTTTGGGCAGTCCAGGGTCCTTCCAGTAGTCTCTGCCAGCACCATAGTTTCAACGCACTGACTTTTCTTCGGCTTCCTTGTTTAATGTCCAGTGTTCACATGCATACGAGGCAAAGGAAAACACTGTGGCTCAGGGCAGGCGCACCTTCGTCCTCAAAGCAACCACCTTGCTTTTCAACACCTTAAAGAGGGCTGTGCAGCCGCAGATTCACCCCATGCAATGCACACAGCTTCCCCTGGGCACACTTTCAAGCTGGTGGCTTGGGGGGAGGTGTTGTGGTGTGTGCGCTGTCCAGCCGGTGTCACCCCCCCTGCCCAAGTTAGGAAAATCACATTCCTGGTTCTGGGCGAGGAGATGGGTGCATGAAGCAACATGAGATATTAGCCCTTGTTTGGTTTTAAATTACGGACTATCATTAATGGTGCTTAGAACTGGATTTCTCCACCCTACCCCACCCCCGCCCCTCAAATGAAAAACTTGTCTCTTCCTTCGAGATTTCCTGGCGGATAACAAGCTGGAGTCCGTTTTATGGGTGAGAGCGAGGAGCAGTGCGCAGCCTGATTTCAAACGGAGCCGTGAGCCGGGCTGAAGATCAAGGAAACACATTTCACACATACACCCAACGAAATGAGCCCTGTGCCCGCGAGGCTCACATGCACAAGGCAGGTCCAGCATCTGGCACGGTGGCAGGTCCACCGCCCCAAACCTCACTGCTGGCCAGTCCATTCCGACTCATAGCACCCTTAGTGGGATAGTGGCAGCAGGAAGCCTCAACTTTTCCCTGAGGAGCAACTGGTGGCTTTGAACTACAAATCTTGTTAGCCGTAGAATGAGTAACCCACTATACAGCACAGTTCCTGGGAACCAGGAGACAGAGCCCAGGGTACAGCCTGGGAGTGCAGTTTTGGGGGCTCCGCAGAGGTAGGATGTACTGTGACCATACACACAAAAAAGCTGAACACCACTAGTAGATTTGCTACTGGCCAAGGAAGCGTCCACCTAGATTGTAAAACGAAAAACCAAGTTCACTGCCATCAAATCAATTCTGACTCAGAGCAGCCCTTAAGGAAAAAGTAGAGCTGCCCCTGTGGGTTTCTGACACTGCAAATCTTCACAGGAGCAGACAGACTCCTCTTTCTCCGGGGGAGCAGCTGGTGGTTTGGAATTGATGAACTTGTGGTTAGAGGCCCACGTGTAATTCACTATGTCACCAGGGCTCTTTGGATGGTAAAAAAGAGCATTAAAACATCTCACTGCCATTGAGTTGATTCCAGAGAATAGAGTAAAACTCCCCCTTTGGGGTTTTGAGGTTGTAAATCTTTATCAGAACAAAAAGCCTATCTTTCTCCTGTGGAGTGGCTGGTAGGTTTGAACCACTGACCTTTTGGTTAGCAGCCCAATTCATAATCCACCACACCACTCCCTCACTGCCATTGAATCCATGCCGGTTCACGGCGGCCCCATAGGGCCGAGGAGAATGGCCCCTGTTGGTTTCTGAGACTGTAGCTCTTCATGGTAGTAGAAAGCCTTGTCTTTGTCCCATGGAGCTGCTGCTGCTGCTTGACAGACTGCTGACCTGCTGAGCTGCCAAGCGAGCGACCGCTATGTCACCAGGGCTCCTAACAAGAGCAAGTGCCAGCCTTTGAACATCTCTTTTCTAAACATGTGGGAGAGAAGCCTTGGAACAATATGCCACCGGGTCACCTGACAAAACAATCTCAGCTGCCCTAGTTTGAAAACTTTGGTGATTTTAATGGACTGTAGGAAAACAGGACCCAGTTATTGTGTAAACACAGAAATTAACACATTCTTGGGTGGAGAGAGAACAAGCCTGTTGATGCCAAAGTCCAGGGCTGCTGGTTTGCAGGGTTTTGTAATTGCTCCCCAGAGTTCCCAAAAGAGACCTCAGTCTGTCCAGGCCCTCTGTCCATCCCAGGCTTCAGCCCCCTCGGACTCCTGCCCAGGTCCCTCTGGGCTCCCCCTGGGCCTCAAAGGCCTTATCTGCAGGGATGAGAGACCATTTCTACAGGAGTTGACCCAGCCACTGCCCTGCTATGCCCCTTTGTCCCGGAGCCCCGGATGAGGGTGCTTCACCTGAGATCAGCCTGCCTGGCCAATCCCACCTGCTCTCAGCAGACATGGACTTGTGTGTCCACTTAGCCGACACGGACTTCAGGAGTGCTCCCTGTGAACCAGGGACCACGCGGGCCTCAGAAACCTGGGGTCGAGCAAGAACAGGGTGAAGATCTGCGTTATTCGTTTGTTGGGAGTTTGTTGTTGTTGTTGTTGATGATGATAATTGGGAATTTCAATGTTCTTCTCTCTGTTGGCTCTTTCCCACCAGCCTCCAACACAACCATGCTCCAAAAGCCACTCTTTCCAACTGGGGTGCCCCATCGTTCCTCGTCATGGGGAATCCCACAGAAGTTCTTGTGGCTTGGCTGTTCCCATCCCTCGCATCCCCCTGCTTTGGGATCTCAGGCCCACGTGGAGCCACCGGCCTGAGCCAACCAGCTGGGCTCCTGCCTCATCCTCTTTTTGCCGGATGTCATCTCCATCGGATCTTTGCCTGCTTCTCTCTGCTGAAAGGGCTTTGGTGAACGTCCTCGTGAAGTCCACATTCTAAATCCAGCGGCCACTTGTCTCCTCTCTTACCTTCCTTGGCCTCACCGCAGCATGGGTCATGGTCGAGCCTGTCTTACTCTTTCACAAAGCAGAATACATCTCATCCTCCCCTCGCTCTTTCCTTTCCTTTCTTTTCCCTACCCTTCCTCTCTGCCCCACCTTCTCACTTATCTTGTCTCCCTCCTTGGGACCTTATCATCTGCTCCACCTCTTAAGGACTCTGTCCTTGACCCTGTCTACCTCGCACACCCAGCCTCATAACCAAATACCATCTACATGCTGATGACTCCCAGCCTCCAGCTGGGCTTCTCCCAGGAGCTCTAGGTCTGTGCATCACACCCGCCCCCCCAAATACCTGCACCTCCCCAAGGATGGTTCACAGGTCTCCGGTGGCCCAATGGCCCATACAGCCCTATCTCAGTGAATGGAAACCCATTCTTCCAGTTTCTCAAGCTAAAAATATTGGAAGCGTTCTTGACACTGCTTTTCCTTCACAATACACCAAATATTTCCCCCTCTCCCTAAACCAGACCCACGGCCATTGCCTCAGAACACCCTTAGAGGGATTCCAAGAGGATGACGTCTTACAGGAGTAGACGTCACCGTGCTTCTCCCCAGGAGTGACTGGGGGAGTTGCTTCACCAACCTTGCAGTTAGCCCTCCAATGCCTGACCCGTAGTACCACCAGGACTCCTGCTGTCCACTGTCTACTGAGAGATACCCCCCGGGTCCTGACTCCCAGGGTGGCTTGCTTTAACTACTGTAATAACGTTCCATCTGGTGTGGCAAGCCAACCCTCCTGACAGCAGCCCGAGTCGTCCTTGGACAACCCTGGAATTACAAATCACTCCCTGACTGAGTCCCGGTGCCCCCTCCTCTTTTATTAAGAGTGCTGAGCACAGAAATCAATATCCTGGCAGCCCATCGCCTAGCTGCTAGGCCACAAGGGCTCCTGGTAGCCTCAGATTAGATTACTTAATCTCTCTGACCTTCTGTTTCTTCAGTTGAAAAGGCAAGATTGGTCCTTACCTTAGGGAATGAACAAAATCCTCAGACAGCTAGCAGATACTCAATATAAGACCTCAAAACCAAACCAAACCAATAAACAAAACACACCAAATGCACTGCTGACTGGTGTTGACTGCTGGCTTTTAGCGACCCCCCCACCTCCACCCCCCGCCCCAGGACAGAGTAGAACAGCCCCTGTGAGTTTCCAAGTCTATAACTCTATATGGGCTTGTAAAGCACTGTCTTTCTCCAGAGGAGAGGCTGGTAGTTTTGACCTGCAGAACTTGTGGTTAGCAGCCCAAGGCTTACTGCTCCACGGCTCCTTCTGGTACAGGTCAAGTGCTTCAAAGAGATCTATCGACTGAACCTAAGTTAAGACTTGACCCTAAAGCTTTTAAGACCCCAGACGGGCACCATCAGCTTTCTTCACCACATTTGCTTATTCACCCGGTTTGTTTTCAGCGGTTGTGTC